TTCAGCCGTCGCGGTTGCGACGGCAGCTAATAAGACTTTGCTTCGATGAATAGATTTCATCAAGGATTCAATGACTAACTCGGATTGATTCTCTGCAACGGTCGTCTCGTTGATTTTCACACTCATTGCCAGATTGGTAATTTGTTATTTTAGGAAAGGAAAAAAAAAAAAAGAAAAACTCTTCACAGGCAAATTGTAGCGCGTTAAAACCGGGTTTCGCGTGTCAGACACACCTCCCCGCTTTTCTTGCCAAAAGCTAAATCATACCCAACAGTCCGCCCGTTTGCAGGCAATTTAATTGACATGTGCTGGAGAAAGCTTCCACTCAGCAAATCTCAATCACATCAATTGATTGGTTGTACCGTCGTCCAATTAGACATGAAGTAGAGAATAGTTTATGTGCAAGGGAACTTTTTGTTATTCAATAAAAAGCCAGTTTCTCCGTGTATAGCAGGCTTTACATACGTGCTAGACTGGCTACAAGTCCAGTAAGAGGCGCTGCTCCCAACAAGGCTTTCAAGAAGAGACATGATTCATTTTTTTCCCCCCCCAATTTAAAATAGTCCTCACAAATCTTCCTTAAAAAAGTCTCTGACATTCTTCAAGAAGAATTCACCAAGGATTAACAATTAAGAGAACATAGGAAAGGAAAAAAAAAAAAAAAAAGAAAAACAACTCTTCACAGGCAAATTGTAGCGCGTTAAAACCGGGTTTCGCGTGTCAAACACACCTCCCTGCTTTTCTTGCCAAAACGCTAAATCATACCCGACAGTCCGCCCGTTTGCAGGCAATTTAATTGACATGTGCTGGAGAAAGCTTCCACTCAGCAAATCTCAATCACATCAATTGATTGGTTGTACCGTCGTCCAATTAGACATGAAGTAGAGAATAGTTTATGTGCAAGGGAACTTTTTGTTATTCAATTAAAAAGCCAGTTTCTCCGTTTATAGCAGGCTTTACATACGTGATAGACTGGCTAAAAGTCCAGTAAGAGGCACTGCTCCCAACAAGGCTTTCAAGAAGAGACATGATTCATTTTTCCCCCCCAATTTAAAATAGTCCTCACAAATCTTCCTTAAAAAAAGGCTCTGACATTCTTCACCAAGGATTAATAATTAAGAGAACAATCGAAAACCACTTGAAGCACAAATTGAAACCACCAATGTTTGGGTGGGGTTAAATAAAATTCGGTAAAAATAGCTGGCTGGCCCGCTCCGCTACGGCACCAGCGGGGCTTCATTACCGTGACTACCGGAGGCGGAGCGAGGGCACTCTAAGTCGGTTCTGGATTCAGCACGTTTTGAAACAAGAACGTCCTGAGTCCTTGACGATACTTTGAATGACTCATATCAAGCAAACTGTCATTTTCATATCAACACAGAAATTCGATGAAGAGATCCTTTTAAATTGGAGGCTATAAGTTTGTTACGGACAGAAGATGCATCGTCACACAAAAGCTCCAGTCGCACATTTGTGAAAAAGGTGCGCATTCAAAAAAAAAAAAAAAAATTTCCTTAATTTCTCAGTTCATAAACCGCAGAACCTGCTGACAAAATGCAAGCCTATGCAGGAAGCAGATTATCTATTTGCGAGCAAATGGATGCATGGGAGATGTGTGTCTTAGGAACTCAAGCTGCATTCTTGCTTATTTGTGGCCCTGTTGACCAACACCCCCCCCCTGCGACACCAACAAAAGTGCCGTCGCTTAGCCAGGCACGTACATTCATGTGAAAACGGACACATTCTACAGGTTCTACATCAAAAAATGTCAAGTGGAATCTAAGAAGTCATTCCTCTGGCGAGTTCCTGATCTCACCCACTGTCACTACTGCTTACTGCTCTGCCTCCCATTCCACTTTTGCACTGAACTCAGCCCGTACACCCCCCCGCCCCCCCCCACCTCTCCGCAAACTAGGTCTGCACAACAAGTGTCTCTTTCTTTCTTTCTTCCTCTAACTTACAAAGAACCCCAGTCAGAGAGAAAGTAAGCAAGAGAGCGTGAACGAGACGGCATCGCACTCGCTCTTGTTTCCAGAGCGATCAACGATCAACAAATCAAGGGCGGCGAATGCCAGAGTGAAAGCCGTGGCGATTCCACAGCAAACGTGATTAAGTGCACCGTTTCAACTTTGCTTCCGCGTGTGCGCAACCGAGGATTGTGACGTGCCAGCCTGCAATACAAATTCATCTCAGAAATACAGTGCGGGAAGGCTGATGGCGCTTTCCACTTTGGACTCGGGCTCTCGGTGCTAAGTAGTAAAGGCAACGCATGCTTAGGAAGAATGAGAGCAGGTCAACGAGAGGATGAATCAGCAGCATTAGAAGTCGAGCCGGTTGATTTGCTGGCTGCCGGTGGAAACGTGCGCGGACTGGTGAAAGGGGCTTACACCTCCCATCAGGCTGACGACGACTCCCAAGCCCAAATGACTGCCAGAGATCTCGTGCAGGAGAAGACCTGCGAATTTTTAAGCGTCCACAAATGACGGTTAATACGCTGTTCGGGGGAGACGTGAGCTCATGGTCACGTTACCTGAGATGCTTACTCAAGGGCTGCCCTCATCCTGGCCCCTCACAAAGCTCCTTTTGTGCAAAAGTGATAGCGGATCGCCCACCGCGGCCTCACTGCGCATTCTTCGTAAGGTACAACGGGTGAGCTTGGCGGGGAGGAAGCACAAGTTCATACGATGATGGAGAGACTATGATTCGACGGGAGACCAACTTGACGGCACAAAGTGATGTTCCCTCCTGTTTCCCCGAGAGGAATGTACGAGCACGTGTTTTCTTTCTGACAGAAACGAAATCCATGACAACCTGCACACTGACTGATGGCAAAGTGCCCAGACTAATAAAAGAGACCACTAGCGTGGACCAGCAGAGATTTTCCGCTTTGAGCGGGGGGGCCTACTGTCTCTCGCAAAGGCAAGGGAGATTTCATACGCGGCATTGCGATCGCAGCCCCATCTGGACTATTCCTTTCCGTCCGCCATTGTTTCAATGTTTTGGATTCATGCGGTTATTTCCTGCTTTAGTCGCGAATGTTTTTTTCCCAGTTGGGAGGCATGCCCGTTAGGCTGCTACCACCATATGTGACGTGCCCATCACTTGTTTGCCCGCCTTCGCGTCCCACCTTTCTTTTCGGGCTCGTTACCGGCACCGCGATGCAGATGTGTCACGCTGTAATTTGCTCTGACAGGCCAGCCATGTTGTCAGGCAGATTCATCAATATGGAACAACAACGGTAGCAGGAATGACTCAAAGACATATATTTATTCAAATAATCAGAACCCTCCTGTCACTTTGATCCAATCTAAATCTGAAACTAAAAAGCTGAAACTGAAAGTCGACGTCTGTTCTGCCGTTTCCACAGAGGGAAAGTGTATCGTTTCCTTTTCGGAGGATTACGAGTTATCCATTCACGAGCTCGCGCGTGGGTCGTACCATCTCTCTGAATAACGACGGCATAGCCTTGAGAGGACATCCCGACGTACTGTAGATATCTCCAGACCCCTCGGTGACAAAATAACAGAATAAATCATGTCAGCATCGTGCCTCAGGAAGGAGTTCCGGTAGATAGAATGAGTATGTTTTCCTATCAATCACCAACAGCAAGCGTAGCTCGCTCGCCTCATAAATGATGCCGATGGTTATCATCACCCTCATACGACGACACACAATGAGGCATGTCGATTATCAACAAGTCAAAACAGGATTTCAATCATGCATAACAAAGTTGGGCCTTGATGGTTTCAAGCATGGTGACATGTAGCCATGGCGGGAGCACAAATCTGGTATTCTCTTTGTCCACAGTCGAGGAATCGGTCATCACTCAGTAATTCTGCGTGCTTCTGATCGCCAGACATTATCCCGCGATACTGGATCAATAGTGCATCCAACAGCTGACGGCCTTTCCAAACGTTAAGGCGGGGGGGCTTCCGAACTTTTTCCTCAATCATGCAATTAGGATCTCAGTTCATCATTCATGGGATATGTTGACACATCAGACAGCAGAAAGTGGAGCAAAACATTTTAGCTTCGGAGACCGAGCTTAATTGACGATGCATTACAAACCTCTTACCCGTTCGCAAGCTTTGGTTGTATTATTGTTATTGTGTGAGGCCAGATTGATGTCTTCGTGGACGCGATCCAGCAGCCACAGAAGGAACTCCAGGGCGTCGTGTTGGGAATTACCACGGAACTGCGATCCAAACTTGGACACGATAGCCTGCAGAGAGAAATCACAAAACAACATTCTTACAGCACACAATCGCCCGATTTTTTTTTTTCCCCAAGTCATTGATCGTGAGCAAAAATACTTTTGTTGTATACTGGTGGGGTAGGTCATCCAAATTCTTGGTTCAGTCTTCACAAATGTATCTATTTGCAATTTTTGCTGTTTCTATCGTTTCAGTTGTGTGCTTAAAGAGCTTTTTAAAAAGTGCCATAAATGTTGCGCTAACATGAGAAGGTTGTATTTAAAAAAATTAGCATTTTCTGGAACATAAGCACGGCATTTGGTATTTGGGTGCCAGATGAATCTATAGCTCTAAACTCAATTAAGCAGGAATGAAAAATGCGAATTATTGGCCGGCAGCCTCGAAAAACACAAACACAGATGAGAGATTATAGAAGAGGGGGCAACAGACGGTAATCTTTGCTTCCTAATCCCATCATATATTGCACATGCGCCTCATCCAGCTCAAATTACACCACAGCATCGTATAGTAAATACACTGCAAGGCCTGGCCACATTACTTTCAAAATTGTCATTTTCATTCTGGGAAATGAGAACAATATCCTGTCATCCCCTGTGATTTTGGTTGTTGAATGTGAATTGGATTGATGCTGGGGTCCTCAATTAAATTCAAGAGTTCTGGAAAATATCATCAGGATGAGGCGCGGAACATCATCACGTCAGCTGGAGCATTGTAATTCCGATTTAAATATTTGCTTACCAACTTACTGTCAAACGAAATAAAGAGGATACGAGAAGCTACACTTTGGTTTTCGCTTTACTTTAGAGTGGATTTTTTTTTTTTTTTTAACTTCAATATTTGCTTACCAACTTACTGTCAAACGAAATAAAGAGGATACGAGAAGCTACACTTTGGTTTTCGCTTTACTTTAGAGTGGATTTTTTTTTTTTTTTTAACTTCAATATTTGCTTACCAACTTACTGTCAAACGAAATAAAGAGGATACGAGAAGCTACACTTTGGTTTTCGCTTTACTTTAGAGTGGATTTTTTTTTTTTTTTTAACTTCAATTTTTGTTTGACTTTTGTAACATTATTTTGACGTTGAACATCAAATTGGACCACATTCGCGGTGTTGTATGTTTCAGGGTAAGCAACAACAGTTCAACCTTTGGGTGCCGGAACGAAACTCATGTTCATCCAGTTTGCATGTTTACCTGCACTCGCATCGTTTCTCAGGCATGTCATGTTATGGGAACTGATAAACTGTCTGCGGAGTAACTGTTTGACTTTCAGGCTTTGTCCCTGCCCAGGCCCCTCTGCGCAAACACATTTCTTGCCGGGAGGATGGGGGAGGGTTCAGGACTCGGAGAATACACAAGAACTGTCCACATCAAAAGCCCACTTGTGCAGCCGCAGCAGCAGGCAGAAGACACTCAACTTCGACACGCCTGGACACCGTTCAATCGCAAGAAAGTAGATAACTACAGCGTTCGCAAACAAATGAATACGTCCTCCCATTTCTATTAGCCCGCAAACCAGGTGGTAGTGCAATGTGGCAGAGCTCCAAGCATTCAGCAGGACTTTTCTTTTCAGTTTTTTTTTCTTTTTCCTCCTGACCAAGACGCGCAGCCAAATGACCCATTTCATTCATTCAACTTTCTTTGAAGAACCTTTTCTTTCCAACAAACGGGGACACATTTACATTTGTATTGTCGCGTTCATGAACAGCGTGAGCAGTACGACACAAAACGGGGGTTCAAGAGCGCGGAAAATAACAACTTTTTGGGGAGGTTTACAAATCAAAACGACGACGCTGTTAAGATTATTAGGCTATAAATAGCGCTGAGAATGATTTCTTGTGGATGCAACTCCTTTCCAACGCCCCCTGAAGATGTCAGCCTTCCCGAAATAGCGCTGACTCCAAATGTTCTTTCAGGTGTTCCTGAAGCCGTGGGCTATGTTTACCCACTAGCCAATAACAAAGCTCTTCGGTTCTTTTATAATGCCCCCCGGCAAGCTGCTTTGCTATTACTCAACAGGCAATTTCAGATGGGCTTGGCGACATAATCTCGAGACTTCGTACAGCGGATGTGTGTGTTTGTTTATGCAGGAAAGAACTAATCATGTATACATTTGAAAAAAAATTGATGTGTGTGTTTGTTTATGCAGGAAAGAACTAATCGTGTATACATTTGAGAAAAAAAAATCTCCTTGAAAGTTTTTTTGAATGATGTGATTGACAAATGAAAAATGCAGCATGGGGACTTAAACGATTTGGGCCGACGATCAAAAAAAATTTGGGGGGGAAATAGACTAACTGACAGCATTACATGGGAGTCAATCAATCAATGACGGTCAACAGTCTTGTCTCTGTAACATGCTGCAAAACGGATGGCATTTAGGGCCCGTGCCTCTCGGACACGCATTACAGCTTTGCCTTCCTCACTCCAATATATTCAAGTGTGAGGAAAGTCATGGGAATCAATCAAGCCTAACGTGTTCCAGTAAACATAACCCCCCCTCCCCCCACCCCCGCCACGTTAAGCATGGCCAGTGAACGGAGGAGCCTGAGGATCTTCTCATAGGACTCTGTCACAGCACCTGATCATCACGAGTCAACCCTTTCCTAAGCTTACCTGCACCTTTTATCTCTTTATTTGCAGACCAGACTATTGTTAGTACAATGCTGAGATGCTATGGGGGGTGGGGGTGGGTCACTTGAACGGAGCACCCGATGACCCCCGGGGGCCCAGTGACACTAAACAGAAGCCTTCTTATCAGCTCGCAGAACACCACCGAGGTCATGCAGTTTGTGATTTTGTGTGCTCTGAGCAAGTCGGAATTTATGACAAAATGAAGCACGCTTTCAGGAATTGAGGGCCAACGAGAGCCTATTTCCGTCCTTCCAGGTACAATCTATCCATATGTTGGTCTCTTAAGGGTGTACAAAGCAATGATGAAATAAAACTCTTTTTTTGTTGTTGTTGTTGAACACAATATTGTCAAAACAATCCCTTCCACACAGACCTACCAAAACCTTTCAAAATCCATTTTCCACAAGGGGATGAATAAATGAGAATTCTTATAATACTTTGTCTGACCACATCATGAGGTGGGAAGAAATGAGATCAATGTGGAATTTGTACTCGAGTACATATGAGAGTTTGTGCTTTTGCTTTCATGATTGTACTTTAGTGTAAAGAAGTTGAATTAGTCTTTATACCGGAGTTATCTGCACAAGTTCTTCAGTACAGGAGTGAGTATTTTTACTCAGTGTGTACTTCCCTTTCTCGGTCATTACCAACTATTGCGAACAGCTATATCACAGGAGTGTGCAGTGAGAGGTCTTCAGACGTACGAGAAGTTGTCCTTAAATTGGAAAAGAATGTATATTTGTTCATCCATCTATGCCAGCGCCATATAATGACAGGCAGAACGGTTTAATACATCATAAATGTATGCCACACAGTCTTTCACTGTATGACGATGAACAAGCGTGTCCACTTTTCGTGACATTGTTTGATGGTATGCTGTGAGATTTTTCTTGGTTGAGTCTTGGCTCAAGAAAGGTTGGAAAATCACTGCAATGTTGTTTCCCAACTTTATTGAGCCAAAGCACATAATCTACCTCCATTCAGGGGAAGAAAAAACGCCAAGCACACTGCCAAACATAAATGCCACAAAATGTGGATACATAGGTTAACGCAATTCAACTTTATTGACGCAGCGCTTTCGCAACAGCCACAGATGGGCCACGGCGCTTTATAGAACACAGTAGCAATGCTACAATCACAACTTCAAATCAAAATATCCTTCTCCATTCCTACATACTCCTTCTTGTAAGTTGTTACAGTTCAAAGATTAAATGTTTGAAGTGACCTTTCACCAAGCGGACTCGTAGATGAGGTGACAAATTATTCGTGGTCAATAAAGTATTTCCAGAACACTTAAGTGAAATTGGATCATTTTCGGTGGCACGTGTGACAAGCTATCAGTTACGGTGCCACGGGCACCCTGGTTGGGAAGCATTGCTTTGTACCGCAAGGATGCAGAACGCGTACCTTGAAGTCGACAGACAGCTGCGGGGTGTATTCCAAAGTCCACAGAGCCCGAACAAGTGAGGCCAAGTGCTCCGTGACCTCTCCGTTAGCGACGCGAGTCTCCGCGCTCCTCGAAGTCCCGTCGACCGCGGTGTCACTCAGGTCCAACTTGTACCTCTCCAGTCCCAAGTACTCGGCCAGCAGGTCGGTATTGCTCAGACACTGGACCACGGCGTTCATGAAGCACGTGTTGCCGTGGTTTTTCAAGCCCAGAACGCCCGGCGTTTTGTCCCCGTACTGGTAAAGTAGTTTGTCCCTGCCAAGAGGAGGGTTCTTGACCAGCCTAGGCACCTGTACATCCTCTTTGGCAATGCCCGAGCTGGCGCCGAGGGTGCAAGGTGTGCCGTTCCCAAATCCCCCATCGTCGTCCTCCGCGTCCTGCGCGTCCGCAAAGTGGGTGAAAGTGCCCAGAGTTTTGATGATTCTGTTCATAAAACTCCCCACGGACTTGAGTGATTTCTTCCGAAAAAGCCTGGCGGATTTCGGCTTCTTCTCTTTACGCTTGTCCTCCTTCGACGAGGGCATTTCCTGCTTCTCGTCCATGACGGCGCCTACGCTACTCCCCCTTGGGTCCGGTCTCGCACTCTTCATCATAGTCTCGTCGATTCCGTCGCCCGCGTGCCACTTCTTCTCCTCCAGTACAGTCCCCCCCTTCCCACGAAGCACATGGAAGCGCGCCCAGAGGTGACACCATCGCCATCACAGCAGCGCCCTGTTCTCCTCGTCCGCCCACCCGGCACGCCACCTTCCACGTCCATCCCGGCCGCCGAACTGAACTGAAGGCGCTCTTTTATCACGTGGAGCGTCACACGTCCCCGCCGGCACGAGAGCGCGACAGGAGCCCTCTCAACGGCTTCGCTCTCCCCGCCTTTTCCAGTCTCGTTGCATTTCGCCGGGGAAAGGCTTGTGATTGTGGGACGGACGGCGTGCCTCCTCCTAGTCCCCCCCCCCGCGCACGGAGCGCATACACCCACTTGACAATTCATTAGACTCGGAAGTACAGTCCGGCTATAGAATGTGCTCAATATCAAGAATTCTATCGCGTGTTGGTAATTCGGTGGCTTTCAACCGTTTTACACCAAATATCGCTTTAAAAAAATACTTTACACGATGTGCCACCATCGCGGCCAACATTACAATACAATCATATAGTAGGCCTAAGTCTTCATTAAAAAATGAGACCGTGACTAAGTTTACATGCAGTCGATAACCCTTTAAAAACCTGAATATTGGCAGTATTTTAGTTATTATAGGCCATGTAAACGCGCACCCCACCAAATGTTATCTCTTTTCTCACCGAATAAGCACACTTTTAGCGTGAGAGGGAAAACACAATGTAACAAGCGGAAATGACGTCTATTTGGGGTCCATGCGTTGTAGTTTTAAATGGGGTTATTCAAATGTGATCAACGACGGTAACGCCATCCATCGTATGTGTTTACACTCTTAGAAGTAAAGGCGCAGACAAGAACCATATAGCTCCTTCCAAATATTGAAATGGTTCTTACAGGAACCATTAGTCTTCCAGAGAACCCTTGAAAAATCCTTTTTTTTTTCGAGAAAAGAGTTTTTCACAAGAACAAAACTCTGCCCTTCAAGAAGAACCCTTTTGGAAACTTAACTTCTAAGAGTGTAAGGACAATTCATACCAGAGCTTGTAATGGCTTGAACACTCCCCACAGAAACTCTCCAACTTGAGCTACCGTTCGAGTTGGAATCATAAACGTGGCTTTGATCTTTCAACCGATATGTTGCTTTGTTCCTTTGCAATTTCATCTTTGATGACATCACAACCAGGCTCTGCTTTAACAGTTCACCCTCAAGAGCCAGAGAGATTACAATCCATTAAAAATGTTTGCACTTGGGCTTTCTGGTATTCGTCGGCCCACGCCCGCGATTTAACTGAACGCCGTCATCCCAGATGACCTTGGCACCTGTCTGTCCGCTTGTCCGCCAGCCACCGATACCCCTAGACAGCGAGACCCGCACACATCACAGACAGGAGGTGTGACCGACGAGGTGTCAATTTGCTGTCGTGCATTTGGAGCCTGACCGGCACAAGCCCCTTTTTCTATCGTACCGGTTCCACCCCGAAACGGCCTGATTCCGCCACGTGCGGTGGCTTTTCCATGACACTTTTTCGGGGCTCTGCGGTTACAATGGAACCGTTCCTCAGAACCTCTTCGCACCTGATTCTAGAACGCCGACTGAGCAGGGTGTCACTGTGCTCTGGCTGGCCGACCACAATTGATTTGGTGCGTACTGTAATGGAGAAGCAATCGAGGCCAGGGTAAAGGAGGGCCAGGTTGTTCTGGGACATGTCATGAAAAGTAGTTTCAATTTATGGCAACTGGTTTGCAGAGGCCGAAAGTGAGATATTTTTTTCATGGCGCCCCAAATCCCTGATGGTACCTCTGATTATATTATATGAGTCAGACTATCTTAATGCCACACTCGTTTCAGATACTTCATGTGCTTTTTTTTTTTTTTCCTACTCCAATGAAGGATGCATTTTGGAGTAGCAGATCCTTTGGAATGCATTTATCATAGATTACAGTGTCCTGGATTATAACCATCATTCCTTTGGCATGAAGTAAATGAGCCACATTTAAGGACTCGGGGCTGTCCGGCAAACACTCCTACTAGATTTTCTTGCAGCAGGGAGCAAAAGTTCTCCTCCGCACAGAAAAATGCTATTCATGTGAGAAATACGTCACGTCAAGATGTTATTTCCGTTCAGAGCAGCCCCGGTGATGGCAACCGTGTGGGACTACGGCTAAAAACTAGCATTTCCGCTAAGTCCAGCGCATTTACAGTTTATTCTTGTATTGATTAATGTGCGCTGTCCCAATGAAATAAATAAATAAGCGGTCAAACATATTTTTTTTTTGTTCCAAACAGAACATATAATTGCACTAAATATACAATACTCACTCTTAAGCAGTTCTCCAGTCTTATCCTCTTTCTTAATACCAAACACATAACCCACGCAAGTTCTTTGCTGACATCCCATGCATCTTTTTCTCACAGCCGCCAATGATAAGAGAGCGATGTGATGAAACTGCCAAGTATTTTCATCATTTTCCGACAATAGACTGGCACAGATAACACATTCAGTCTCCCATCAAGCGCAGTAATGACCCTGTGGGCATTTCAAAGCTGTGGCAGCTTTAATCACCTCAAAGCACAATGTTCAATGCACATGTTAATCTGACCTGTGCTTTTGAATGCCAGTTCAACATTTGCTCATTCTTCTTTTTTTTTCTTTTTTTTGGGGGGTTGGGGGTCTAATTCCCTATCAATATTAAATTACAAATTGCTTATTATTCCCTTGTATATGTGGATTTTATTGACGTCGACGCGAGAAGCTTCTTATACAACGTCGAGATACAAAGGCTGGAACGTCATGCAATGAGATCATTGTTCCCCTGATGTGGGCAGAAAGTTGAGTAATGACATGTTTACAATTGGTGACATAATCTCTCTGCGATGACAGACAAAGACAGGTCTTTGCAGAGAGGAATATGTCATCTTCTGAGACTACGATGGCAACAGAGAACATCTGCCGGACTGACTCATAACCTAGGGAACAGCCACTCTTACAGCTGAACAAACAATTCATGTTGTTTTGCTCCGACCATCTCATCATATTTAGATTAGTAGAGCCTCTGTCTATAAAGCACCTCCCAGAGACTGTCAGAAGAGGAAATCCATGTGAGTACAGTATATCTCCATCCTTTACAGCTCTGCTTATTGAATTCTAGTGTTTCATGCATTTTTTTAAAAAATCACAAACAATTTAACCTTTGCTGGGAATCTCTTTGGAGAAAAGGAAACAGAAGGAGCAGAGTGGGCGAAATCTGGCTTCTACCAGGTCCGAGATTATGTAGGCCCCATCTGAGCTGGCAATAACTCACATCTTTTCAGTGTCTTTCATCTGAATGCAGTTGGCACAGGGTTTATGCTTTCTCACGGATTCATGCACCTAGTGAGCGCCGGGCAAGAGCCCCTGGCCCCCCCCATGAAAAACACCTGAACAGACTATAATAGACAAGCATTTCCTCAACCGCACACATCAGACAACTGTCACTACGGTACCTCCAGACTGTGGACATCAGCACAACCCCCCCCCCCCCTCTGTCCCCAAACAATTCTTCTCCATGGTGGTTGCTGGCAACAGCTGTCAGTCATGAAAATATACAGTGCCTGCTGAATTGTGACCACTATTCTTGACTGGAAAAAGTTTCACGCTGCTCCTATTTGTGCATTTAAATACATCGAAACATGCACTTTTAAATGACAGATGACGACAGTTGTTGATCTGGTCTATAAATAAAGAGGTGTGGAATGTCACATTTATTGAAGTGCAAATTTCTTTTCAGCGAAGCATAAAGTGCTCCGAACAGCACGGTAAGGACCACTCATTGCCAGAATTTCACTCATGAAAATGTGCTTGTTGTTTCAAGTGCTTCCATCCAACCATTTTCTATAGCGATTGGCCTCATTAGGGTTGCAGGTGAGTTGGAGCCTATCCCAGCAGACATTGGGTGACAGGCAGGATAGATCCTGGACTGGTCACCAGCCAATCGCCGGGCAAGGAAATCAACACAAGCACAATGGTCGAGAGCAGGCAAATTCCACAAGTGAGATCCAGACATAGAATGTGGCTAATGCTGCCCTTTTAAAATCCAAAATCATTTTAAATACTGAAATTACATATGCATTACTCTCTCTAATATAACCTCAGACTAAGCTCTCTTTATTGCGGTAACTTCCAACAGTATAAACATCTTCTTACATACATAATAGAATGGCTCCCTCTTCTGGTAAAATTTCAGTTTAACACTTTATTTATTATTTGATTATTTTTAGCCCACTCTTGGAAAAGAGAGATATCATCTCAATGACTTTTTTTAAACTTGTTTAACTAGCGCAAGAATACTATTTTACCATTATCTATGTTGTGTCTGTGTGTGTGTTAGGGTGGGAGGGTGAGGGTTGGCGTCAGAAAAAAAAGACCAGCCTATACAGTCCAGCTATTTATCACATTACTGTTTATTTCGTTATTACTTGTTAAGACAGCGATCCCCAACCTTTTTTTGTGTCAAGGACCAGTTGAGACAAGTACATGTTGTTCGCGGACTGACAACCATTTTATCATTGCTTTTAAATCGCCAGTTTTAAAGCACTGGTACTGGCAACAAAGATAATTATAGTCTAATTCTACATTCATTAACAGATTTTTTTTTCCATTCATTTCAAACAGTGTAATTCTGGAGTACACCAATTGCAGAATAAAAGAAAATAACACAGTGAACTACAAAGATATGTGTGTGTGTGTCTGACGAAACATGTTTTAAATGCTTTTTCGATACTGTCACGGAGGTATTCATTTTCCCTTTTAATCGTTGTCATATTCGACAGGGTATTTGGGCTCTAAAGCCATAATGTAACCATAGAAACATTTGATGTGACATCGTTAAAGTCCTGCCATGCTTTAAAAAAAAGAAAAAAAAGACCATCTGCTTCTTCCTTTGTGTTGTACATAATGTGTCGTGAATCAGTGGCCCCTGTCACAACAACAAAAGTGGGGCTCATGTTGGAGCAGCGGCACTCTGAACAAAGGTCTTAACCAGGGGTCACTTTGGGATCGGAAGACCACCCAGTTGTGTGCCTGAAGACACAGTCGGAACTATGCACCCTCAACTTTGCAGGGACGATAAATGACAATGACGGAGCAATGATTCTGTCTTTAGAAATGGCTCTGTCGATGAAAGAGTCTTTACATTCGCTGTGCAGCTCACATCTGCGTTGGCATCTTTGAGAAATGATTTATGCAGAACTTAAAAAGCTCAAAACTGCCATTAATAACGCCTTTCAGACCGTGTGTTCGATGGGACGTTC